TACCATCTGTTCTCATCATAGTTTACTATAAGCAATTTACAGAACCTGGCGGAAGATTGAATCTTGCACACTTTGGAAATCTCTTAGTTATATGTGTGATTTAATTGCTTGCAAGTTTTTGCTTGCTCACTAATAGGAAATCACAATTCAGCCAACATCTGCTGCCTTCCCAGGCGCATGGGCAGGAAGCTGGCTAAGAAGCAGAGCGACTGGGGCTCCAGTGTGTGCTCTAATATGGGGTGCTGGCATCACAGATCATGGTTTAACTTCTGTGCCAAAGTGCAGGCCCTGACTTTGGTCTAGTTTCTCCCTTTTTAAGTTTTATTTATTTGTTTGAAAAGTAGAGTTACACAGAGAGAGCTCCACCGCTTCATTTTTTTTCTAGTTTTCTTTTAATATTATTTACATAGTTCAGAGGGATGAAGGCCCTTGTGGACCTCTGATTAAGGTGGGAAGGTTCAGGTAAGGAGGAAGATAGGTGGGACAAATGTTTCAATTTTTCTTTCTCATGTGTTCCCAGGGCAGGAAGTGGAGCAGGCTGCTCCTTGCTGTCAAAAACTACATTAGCACCTGGGGATGAGGGATGTTCATTTGATGATTCCTTGGAGACCCCAGTATGGGGGAGAGGGTTCCAAGACTGCTACTTGAAGTTGTTGGTTTTGTTACTTTAGGGTTGAGAAAATCTTTCCAAGGTCTACTGGTTAACAAAGCCCACCTTAGTGCATTCACAGACCCAGGAATGTCCTGCAAAGCTTGCCCAGAATTGTCAACCTGTTCTGCTTTCCATCCCGATGAGGCAGTTGACACCACCTGCTGGCCTAGATGAGCTGGCCTCCATCTTTCCCATGCGCATCTGGACATGCGTTCACCACACAGGCAGCCCAGTCCAGATACATGCTCTCCAAGGTCAGACCACACATCCTGTGATTTTCCCTGTGGCCAGGGTCTGAGTCCAGCAGTCTAGTCGGTCTTGTTATCTAGATTGGGTTGCTCAAAGCAACAGAAATGTATAAGTTCCCAATTTTATGAAAGCCAGAAATCTAAAATCAAGGTATCAGCAGGGCCTTGATAATCCTTGGTGCCCCCTGGCTTGTAGCCTCATCACTCTGGTCTCCTTATTGTTCTGTAGCCTTGTCCCTTTTGTCTCTGTGTCCTCTCTGGGAATTAGAGTTCACCCCATCTGAGCAAATTAGGTCCACAAAGATCACAATCTGTAATTCCAAATAGCATACATTTTGGATGGCCCTATTGAATCTACTGCAGTTTCTGAACGGTGCAGTTGAAAATAACACACTAAACACTGAACCTCTCAAAGGTAGGCCCTATTTTTTCCACCTTCCCAGCTTCTACTCCAGGTCATTGACTAAAATCAAACAATGCTTGCTGGAGTTTGCACACCAATGTTCACGGCAGCGTGATTCACAGCAGCCCACAGGTGGGAACAATCCAAAAAATGCATTGAAAGATGAGTAGGTAAAACAAAATGCAGTAGTATATGCACTCAACCTTAAAAGGAATGAAATTACAGCCTGGCTATAAAACAGATGAGTCTTGAAACCATTATGCTAAGAGAAATGTCAAATACAAAAGGGAAAATGGTTTTAAATATGTGTTTATTTGAAAGGCAGCATTATGGAGAGAGGAAGAGAACGAGTGAGTGAGATATGATGTTCCCTGGTATACTCCCCAAATGATTGCAAGAGGTGGGGCTGGGCCAGGCTGAATCTAGGATCCAGGAACTCTCTCAGGTGTCCCGCATGGGCATCAGAGGCACAAGTGCTTGAGCCACTATCCACTATTTCCCAGGTACATTAGCAGGGTGCTGGGTCTGAAGTAGACTGGAACTGGAAGCCACAATCAAATGGCATGCTGGGGGTCCCAGGCGGTGCCAGAACAAATGTTGCATGTTTCTACTCATTCAAGGTCTCTAGAATAGACAAATGAACAGAGGAAGCGGAATAATGGGATGCACGAAGAAGGAATGAGGAGTTATTATACAGCAGTGCTTCTGTTTGGGATGATGGGAAAGTACTGCAGCTGGATGGTGGTGATGGTTACACAATGTTGGGAATATTTAAAACCACTGAACTGCACACTTAAGGCTGGTTAAAGTGATACATTTTATGTGATTTTTCTTTTGGCACTGTAAAGTAAATGCTTATTTTTAAGAATAAGTTGGTTCATATTCGTGACATTTTCATCCCAAGTGCCTAGGCTACCAGTCCTTAGCTTCTAGTTCCTAAAGATCCTCATTAAAATAATAAGAACTGTTATGGGGTGCAGCCAGTGATAGCCAGCACCCACTGACAGTGGGCAAATGAAATTTGGCTGTGTCCCCTACCCTCTGTCCTGAAGGTGAGTCCTAACAGCAATGGAATGCTAATTCCATCCTCAACCACTCCCCCCACATCCTAATTTAGCCAGGATATTGGATGCAGATAAATCCAATTAGTCTAGGTGTTTTTAACTACAAGCCCAGTTCCTGTTCCTGCCCATCCCAACGAGCATTAATCAACTCTTAACCCCACAACACTGAAGAATTCACTCCTGCCCACCTGTGACTCAGCTATCAACTGAGAGGGGGCGGTATTGCATTGTTGGGTAACCACTCCCCTCACAAGCCCCTTTAAAAGGTCCAGGAAGCAGGGGTTCTCTCTCTATGGCCAGGTGCTTCCATTACTCTGGCACCTCGACTCTTGGCTGACCCAGGACAGGTAATCCCCTGAGCATGGTCCCTGTGTACTGCTTAGATGGGGCAATGGTTATAGCAATGTTGTTTCTGGTTTGTGTGCTGTCAGGAGTTCCAGGAGAGGTGAGACCTAGCAGTGATGGAATGTGAGCAGAGAAGCCAGGGAAATGTGAATGTCTGCAGCTTTGTAAGTGTGTCCAGGTTGCATGTCTCTTAGGATAACTTATATTGTTGGGGAAGCTGGGACATAAGTCTTCATCTTAATGAATAAACTTAAGGGTTATGACCATTTGTTCCTTTTGGGGTTATGATTGGTTGGATTATGATTGGTTGTACTGTGATTGGTTGGATTGCCGTATGGACTTGTGATTTGCTAGTGTGCTCTATTTTCACCAAGCTTGGTTAATGAAGACTCCTTAATAAACCTTAGACATGTCTGGTGTGATCTCACTTGCACCCTGCAACAGAACCACAGAATTCACATACTGAATTACTGTTGCAAGCCAGGGATTATACTAAGTATTTTGCATTCATCATGTAATTTATTCTGCATGATAACAACCTTGTAAGTAGAGATTGGAACCTCATTAAAATATTTATTTGAATGGCAGAGTGATAGAGAAAGAGAAATAATCTTCCATCTGCTGGTTCATTCTCAAATGGCTAGAGCAGTCCCAGATTGGGTCAGAACAAAGCCATGAGCCAGAATTCCACCCCGGTCTCCCACAAGGATGTACTTGGGACAGATGCTGCTGCTTTTCCAGGTGGATTATCAGGGATCTGGATCAGAAGCGGAGCAGCTAGGACTCCAGCGCTCTAATAGGGGATGGCTGTGCCATACGGCTAGTCCCAGGGACTCCCATCTCACAGATGAGAAAACTGAGGCTAGGTCACCAGCTAAGAGGTACAACAGTGAAATTTGAACCTGAATTTTCTCAGAGACCAGTTGCTTCTTCACTCTAAAGAACTTCTTCCCAGGCCTCTCCAAAGCCTGTGTGTCCCACTCTCCAAGGATCTGAACAGAAATGCCCTCTTGTGTGGTATTCCTTAACTTCTAAGGAATAGAATTCACCAAGACTTAATACAGAGCTTCCTGTGTGCCTGGAAGTGCTTGCACAAACTCCCTGTGCCCCACCCTGGGCCCTGGGAATGGGTCAAACCATGTTATCCTCATTCTGCAAATACAGAAGCGAGCCACAGAAAGGCTCACTTGGTTCAGACACCGAACCCGCTGAACCAGGTATGATTTGGGGAATGGACACTAGGGGGTCTTTGAACCACCTCTCACTCTAGCAGGGAAAAACCTACTGGTTAAGGTCACCAGGAAGGCAGAGGGACCAGCTGTCCCTCTCGTCTGTACACTATTCTCCAGACTCATGTCCTTCTCAAGCCTGAAATGTTTGTGGAATAAATGCACAAACAAACGAATAAGCAAAGTTCCTTGTTGCTTGCAGCTGAACTCCTCAGCTCAGTCCAGAGGTGCTGTGTGGAAGGACTTGGGGTTCCCCACCTGCACAGGCTTTTTGGGTCCCTCCCCCCAAGCCTGCAGGCCCAGGGGCCCTCTTAGCTGTGTACCTTTAAGAACTGAGAGGCTTCCCAACACTGGCAGCATCTCTCGACACAGACTTAGGCACAGAGTCAAGGTCAGTGTTAGGGAGAACATTGTCAGCCTGGCCCATTTCACTCTCCTGAATTTTCTCTGTTAATTGCTGGTCCTCTCGGCCTGAAACTCGAGTCAAACTTGCCTTGGCCTGCACCTTGCTCCCATCTGCCTCTTTGCCTTGAAAAGCATTCCTGTCTGTTTGCACACCTTTGGCCTGCCCTCTGCACCGGGTTTGCATGGGGAGCCTTCCCAGGGCTGGCCAACCCAAGCCCCACCAGAAGGAATGATGCTTCGAGAGGGCATGAGAGGGTCTACGGGTGTGTCTGCAGGGATATGGCCTCCTGTCCACACAGCCATAGCCTACTTCTTATCCAGCCCCCATGGTGTTAGGACTTGTGTGGTATCCCCACCCCCTTTGAAACTTCCTAATTGTCTTGAAGGAGGCTGAAAGAACAGTATGAAAGACGTGAGCAACTGTAATTCATAAATATTAACCAAGCAGGCCCCTGGGCTCCAAGGACGGCTGTGAATGCTAACGAGCGAATGACGTCCTGGCCCTGCGCGTGCCCACCGGGCGGGTGCCCGAGCGCGGGCGCGCCCCCACCCCTCCCTGGGAGTGCGGGCACGAGCGCGGGGAGGGGGCCGGGTGGAGGAGGCAGCGGAGCGCTGCCGGAGCTGCAGGGGGAGCGCTCGCTGGCTGCCTCACCCGCTCGCCGCTGCCACTGCGCTGCGCTCCGGCCGCCCGCCGCCGCCGGTTGATGGGGGTGTCCGGCTGAGCCCCGGGATCCGCCTCCCTCCGCTAGGACCCATACAGGTGCCGTCGCGGGGGGTGGGGGGAGGGCACCTTGATCTGGACCCGACTCACTATTGGGGGTGGGGGAGTCGGTTATGGATGGTGAAGGAGGCCCGGGGACTCCGGGTTCTCAGACAGGACGGTGTGCGGGTGCCGCAGCCTCGTACCCCGACCCACTCCCATCCCGGGGCAGTCGCAAAGTAGGAATCCGGAGGCATCCTCCTCTTGCCAAACCCGCCCTTCAGGGAGCTCAGCCGGGACGCAGAGCCAGGGCCGTATCGGGGAGGGCATGATGGGCACTTGAAGCATCGTCTCAGCGCGTCGGCCCCCGGCAGGCCTGGCGTGCGCGCGCGTGCGGGTGCCCGTGTGCATGTGGCTGTGTATGTATGTGTGCATACATGTGTGTACATGTTGTACATGCATATGGCCATGTGTGCATGCACCTGTGTGCCTATGAGCCCCTGTGTGTGTGTGTATGTGTGCGTAGGGAGCCAGGGTGGAAAGAGGGCTGGGGGAGGCAAGGAATGCTGCCCGGTGGTGCTGGAGAGGCTGGTCTGCATTCATGAAGGAACCGTTATCCGGCCCGGTAACCTTAAACTCCAGAATCATCTTTGTCGCTAAGAACCTGACCCCCATCTATCTGCTAACCCCGGGTCGGGCGCGGATTGTGCATTCCTGCAGTGTCAGATCGGCTGGCAGCGGCCGTGGGCGCTGGGGAGCGATTGTTTTACTACAGAGCAGGGCGGGGCGGGGCGGGGTGGAGGGGCGCCAGCGTCCGGTGCCTGGAGGGCTCCCGGGTTGGGGTGCAACATTCGGCCGAGCCCGGACGGCTGCGGTGGTAGCTCGCTCTTCTCCCCTTTTGCCTATTTCTTTCCTGCTAGCCGCTCAACACTCTTTGCCCAACCCTGTGTCCACTCCAAAGCTCTAGTTTTGCTTGGTCGAAAGGGCAGTGAATGTGTGCGGCCTCCGTGGATGAGCCAGCTTCCAGCGAGCGCCAGCCATTGTGCTGCCTGGAGGAGCCTTCCTGAGCCCACACAGGTCGGAGCAGGGGGAGGAGGAGGGGATCCGAGATGGAGGAGGGGAAGGGGGTTGCCGATCCATATGCAATGAACTACTCTGCCGAAACGTGCAGCTGGCACGCCATGTACACCGGCTGAGTCTCTGCCGGTGGACCCAGAGAGGTCAGGTTTTAGGAGGGGTTTGGGGAGGCCCAGAATTAGTGGATCTGTGGGGCAAGTAACGGCAAGAAGGAGAGGTGGAATTGGGCCCGGCATGGGAGCCAAGGTAAAATCTGTGTGGATTTGCTCCTGCTGGCTCAGCCCGGTGGAGCAGAAGCTGGTAATTTGTGCTACCGTCTCACCAATGCCTTCTGACAGAGGCCTCTCTGACTTACCCGCGCTTCTGCTGGGTCTCCCCTTTTCCTTCTGAGAATCACACCTTCTACTAAGAGCTGAATTACATGGAATAGATGACAGCACCTGTGCTCTGGTCTCTGATAAAGAAAAGGAAAAAAAAAAAAAAGCCAACTACCCCATGGTTCCTGCTTTCTGCCATTTTCCCTGCATGTACCATTTATTTATTTATTTATTTATTTATTTATTTATTGAGTGGTATCTAGAACAGAAACCGCCTGCCCTATGTTAACCCTAGCTTTTAAGGAGGGTTCTGAGATGAGCTCTGAGCAAAGCCAGAATGAAGCTTAGCAGGATGCAAGAAGAGAAGGTTGCTTCAGACATTGTAGCTGGGGGAATGAAGGCTTTTTCCCTTCTCCACCCCGTCCCTCCCCTGGAGATGCCAGCTGAACGAAGTGGCAGGTAGGGTCACTGAGGCGAGCTGGAGACCCCCTCCTGGAGGCTGAAGTAGAACTGTCAGCTCTCATCTGCGACAGCCAGGGCCTTTCTACAAATAGTGGGCTCAGTCTGAGTGTGGAGTGACTTCAGATTCCCAATGAGGGATTTCAATTTTAGCTTCCGCTCCAGCTGGTCATTCATGCAGCGATTCTTGGCTCCTGGGTAGTGAACTGCACAAAGCAATCAGCCTGCATTATGGATTGCCTCAAATAACTGTGTTTCTGAGCTCTAGCGCTGGGTTCATTTATTCCTTTGTAATCTTCTAGATGAATCTATTTTCTCTAGAGCCTGCCTGGACTAAGTTAGGTGCTTTCAGCACAGTCTTCTATCTTAGTCCTAGATTCTGGTTGGATTTGCCTCTTGCTGCTCGTTAATGGATGGGTCATGTCCTTTTAAACCAGCACCCGATGGGTGTCACCTTCCATTCCCAGTCCCTCCGTCAGAGCACACAAGCAGAGTGTGAATAGCTGTAGTTCTAAATGGTGAGTTTCAAGTCTCTCTTAAATGGGACCAGCAGGGGACTCACATGATGGCTCAATGGCTAAATCCTCAACTTGCAGGCACCAGGATCCCATAAGGGCACCAGTTTGTGTCCTAGTTGCTCCACTTTCCATCCAGCCCCCTGCTCATGGCCTGGGAAAGCAGTAGAGGATGGCTCAAAGCCTTGGGACTCTGCACCTGTGTGCGAGACTTGGAAGAGGCTCCTGGCTTCAAATTGGCACAGCTCTGACCATTACAGACACTGGGGGAATGAATCAGTGGACAGAAGATCTTCCTCTCTGTCTTTCCTCCTCTCTGTATATCTGACTTTCCAGTAAAAAAAAAAATCTATCTATCTATCTATCTATCTATCTATCTATCTATCTATCTATCTATCTATCTATCTATCTATCTATCTATCTATCTATCTCCCTCCAGTGATCCAAGGCCCTGTGACCAAATGAACTGAAAACACACTGGCACAATCCATGCTCAATTCTTTCATGGTAGCTCTTTCATTTGGTAGGCATTTGAAACACTACATATGGACTACCATGGCTGTGTTAATATTAAGCCTTTTAAAGTAAAGATTTATTTATGTATTTAAAAAGCAGAGTTACAGATAGAGAGGGAGAGACAGATAGAAGGATTGCCCATCTACTGTTTCGCTCCCTCACATGGCTGCCACAGCCAGAGAAACAGGCTAGGCTGTAGCCAGGGATCAGAAGCTTCAACTGGGCCCAAGGATTTGGGTCATCCTTTGCTGCTTTCCCCGGGCCATTAGCAGGGAGCTAGATAGGAAGTGGAGCAGTTGGGATGCAAATATGAAATATTGGCCTTGCAAATAGTGTCTTTATCTGCTATGCCACAATGCTGGCTCTCCTAGAAAAAAACACTGTTGCACTGGACTTCTCTGTAAGTAGATACCATGAATTGTTAGGCACTTTCTGTGTTCCATGTATTTTGTTCAGCATTTTAAAGATGATCTCTAGGGATAAAGTCACCTTCAAGATAAACCCTACTTTACTTTGTTTAATTTTTCTAAAGATTTATTTTCATTTATTTGAAAGGTAAAGCTACCGGGAGGGAGGGTTAGACAGACATTCCCTCCATTGGTCCACTCTCCAAATGGCCATAGCAAGCAAGGTGCGCCAAACTGAAGCAGAGCCAGGAGCTTTGTCTGGGTCTCCCCTGTGAGTACAGGAGCCCAGGCACTTGTGCCATCCTTTACTGCCTTCCCAGGCACATTAGCAGGAAGCTAGGTTGGAAGTAGAGCAGCCAGGACCTGAACCAGCACACATGTGGGAAGGAAAAGAAGATGTCTCAAAAACTTCATGGAAAATGGAATTAAAAGAAATTTGTTGTAATGGTAGCTGAGTCTTGGCCAGGCCAAAGTCAATTTCCAGCAAGTCTATTTTTGTGTCCCATGTGAGTGGCAGGAAACCAAGCACTTGAACCATCCATCTCTCACTGCTTCCCAGGTACATCAAAAGGAAGCTAGATTGGAAACACATGGTATCTAGTACTCAAACAAGACTCCTGAACCCACTGTACTGTAATGCCTTCTTCTTTCACAATTGCTGGAATATCCTTTGTATGGATGTATTTCCTTTTCTTAATGAAGAATAAAGTTATATTTTCATTTCATTTCCTACAAATTTTAATTTGTAATTACATTTAGAGTGCCCCTAGGGTTCTAGAGATTATGAAGAGCCTCTGGCTAGTAAGCAATTGTATGTTCCTTTCTTTTTCTTTTTAAAAAGATTTATTTATATTTACTAGAAAGGTAGATTTACAAAGAGAAGGAGAGACAGAAAGATCTTCCATCAGCTGGCTCACTCCTCAAATGGCTGCAATGGCCAGAGCTGAGCTTATACAAAGCCTGGAGCCAGGAGCTTCCTCTGGGTCTCCCACATATGTGCAGGATCCCAAGGCTTTTGGGCCACCATTCTCTGCTTTCCCAGGCCACAAACAGGGAGCTGGATGGAAGTGGAACAGCTGGGACATGAACCAGTGTCCATGTGGACGAGGTGCTTGGAGGAGGAGGATTAACCACTGAACCAACATGCCAGCCCTGTGTGCTCCTTTAAAGCTGTGTCCCATGTGGTTGTTGGGTGCTTGCAGTGTGGCTAGTCCAAAGATGTACAGAATGTAAAATACATGCTGGATTTCAAAGAATTTAGCATAGAAACATAATATAAAATATCTCATTAATATTTCCATAAGATTGTCTCTGAAATATTTCACATACATTAGATTAAGTATATTATTAAAATACGTTGCTGCAATTCAATTATTAATTCGTTATAAAAGTTAACTTCCAGGAACTGGTGTTATGGTGTAGCGCGTTAAGCTGCTGCCTGCAATGTCCACATCCCATATATGCACTGGTTTAAGTCCTTGCTGCGTTGCTTCCTATCCAGCTACCTACTAATGCACTGGGGAAAACAGCAGAAGGTGACCCAAGAACTTGGACTTCTGTTACTCCTGCGGGAGACTTGAATAGAATTCCTGTGTCCTGGCTTCAGCCTTCCTCAACCCTGGTTATTGTGGCTGTGTAACAAGCGAATCAGAAGAGGACAAACCTCCCTGTTTCTGTATCTCTTTCTGTGACTCAGCCTTTTGAATATAAATAAATCTTTCAAAAGCATGAAATTAACTTCCAAAGATGTTAGTTCTATAGGAACATCTTTATTATAGCAATTCAGGAGATCAGGGCCCATAATGCATGTCAGTCAGCTATCGGTGGCTTTATTGCTTCTTTGGCTTATTTAGGTGGCGGAGAGAAGTTTGCTTGTCCTTTTGTGATGCAGGGAAGAAGGCTGAGCATGTACAGTAGCTGTAGTGATGATCAGGATCGTGGGATCTGTGCTCACGGTGCAGAAGATCATTTTCCAGGGAGCACACGGGACTGATAACTCAGTGCAGGCCAATATGTGCATTAGGCGCCACGGAGGGTATCCGGAGGATGTCAGTGCCCTCGAGGGGTTCCCACTGAAATTGGAAAGAGGCCTGGATAAATCACAGTTGGAGACAATGTCCGAAGAAGGCTTTGTGGGGGGAGAGGTTCCGTCATTGTTGGACAATGGTTGGAGGCCTGCGTGTAGCATTCCCGGATGCAGTGCCCACGGAAGCTATCATCTGGCTTTGGAGTGGATGGGCAGTTGGGTCTGTTTCTCATAACAGGATAGATGATACAGACATTCCCGTACTCCTAGGCTTGGCCTCTGTGTCTGGGAAAAACTCAAGCATCTGTTGGAAAGTCTCTGTTATTTATTGATGAGGGTGGAAATAGCCAGCTCCATTAATCTTTATCCAGAACTCTTGTGCCAGTCATGTTTCAGAATTTAGATTATTTCAGATTTTGGAAGGCAGTAATAGAGTACATATTCTGCATTCTATCTATTTATTTACAAGTAACTTTATTTTTATGTTCATCAAGTTTTTCAGTTGACTTTAGTTATGAAAAACTTCCAGTTCAAAGCACAAAATTAAGGACAGGGGAATGGAGATTATTGAACAGCATTGGCATCAGTTATGTGCCAGGCACTGTTTAGAGCACAGGCCTGTGTTTACTCCGTCAACCTTCTAACAGTGCCTGGAGGTAGGTCCTGTTATCATTTTTGTTTTGAGAAGAATAAGAACAGAGAAGTTAGGTTGCCTAAGATGGCAGCTGGTAAGGGTAGAGCTGTATGCAGATGCCAGGGAGTCTGGCCCAAGAGTTGCATCCTCAGGCCCTGTCCTTTGTGATTTGAAGCAGAGACTGGAAAGCAGGTGTGTCCCAAGGTTCACTGAGTTTAACATCATCAACACTGGTAAGGTTCTTTGAGCCTAGTAGTGTGGTAGCGCAGAAGCGATGGATGCCAACAAGGTGGAATCCTTGTTTTTTGAAGAATTTAGAGAAGTCGAATAAGTGCTTATGTTTCCCCAGCAGTCATGGTGCCAAAGCCCAGTCCAAGCTCATGCTGCCCTGTTTCCTTCTGCAGGAACGGATTCTGAAAGCTGTGCTGTAGCTGGGTAAGAATGGAGGCCCCCCTGGTGAGTCTGGACGAGGAGTTTGAGGACCTCCGGCCCTGCTGTTCAGAGGCTGGGGAGGAGAAGCCACCATGCTTCTACGGCTCATCTCCCCACCAGCTGGAGGACCCCTCCCTGTCTGAGCTTGAGAATTTTTCTTCTGAAATAATCAGCTTCAAGTCTATGGAGGACCTCGTGAACGAATTTGATGAGAAGCTCAATGTCTGCTTTCGGAACTACAATGCTAAGACGGAGAACCTAGCTCCTGTGAAGAACCAGTTCCAGATCCAAGAGGAGGAGGAGACCCTTCAGGATGAGGAGTAAGAAGTCTTAATTACCCTCTCACGCTACAGACAAGAGCCCCGCAGCCGGGGCCAGTTCTGACACAGAACTGTAGTGTTTCTGTCTACAGGCCTATGGCGTAGTACTTACATTTTAATGATGTCAGTGGGGCTGCACTTCAGAAATTTTGCTGGCGCTGCTGTCTCTTCACAGTCACCTGCAGAGAGCTTAAGCTGAAGACTTAGATAAATGAATTTTTCAGTAGTTGAAAGGTTTTCCTAGATACAAAATAGAATTTCCAAAACGCTGTAAATCTTGGAGTCTATTTTCAGTATTTTTATATCTAGGAAATCCATCCACAGATATTAGAAAAAAGGACCAGAATGGAGTGGGTGTTTAGCAGGGTGGCTATGACACTGTCTGGGAAGCCTGCATCCCATATTGGAGTGCCTGGGTTCAAGTTTCAGCTCTATTTCTGATTCCAGCTTGTTAATGTGTGTACTTGGAGGCAGAAGGTGATGGCTCAAGTACTTGGGTCCCTGTTCTCCATGTGCAAGACCTGGGTTGAGCTTGCAGCTCCTGGGGTTAGCCTAGCACTGACCCTACTTTGGCCGGAAGATGATTTTTCGCTCTTTCAAATAAAAATAAGTAAGAAGCGGAAAAAATTAATTAATTGCAATGTTAGAATCTATGTTATTGGACCAATGTGCTTAAAGAAACACCAGAATTATGTAACCCTGTGGGCTTGGAAAATTATCCACAAATCTTAAGATATGGCCAAATAAGAAAACATCGAAATTGAACTGAGAGCACAGGGAATTAATTACTCTGGACAAAATACAGGTGAAAAAGAGATGGTATGGCTTTGGGGTATGCATATGCCAAGTCCTGAGTCAGCTGCCATCTAAGACCATAGAGAAGAGGCCCTAGGGTGGGCATAGCACCCAGCAGTTAAGATCCCTGTGTTTTATTTCAGAGTGTTGGGGCTCCACACCTGCCTCTAACACCTGAATCAAATTTTCCAGTAGTGTACCCCTGGAGGCAGCAGTGACAGTTTAAGCAGTTCTGTCCTTGTCACACATATGGGAGACCTGGATTGAATTTCCCAGCTCCTGGCCATTGGGGGGCTTTTGGAGAGTGAACCAGAAGATGGAAGAACTCTTTCTCTGTGTCCCTCAAATAAATGAAAAAAAAAAAAAAAAAGGAAAAGGGATCTGAGAAAATACTGAGGAGGTACCAGAAAGGACAGAAGGGCATCATTGGCCCATTAGTCTGTTTAGGCATATAGTCAAAATATACATAAATTCTCTTTGTAAATAACATACACATTAGCTGTTCTTTAGAAATAGCACAAGAAGGATCAAATTGTTGGTTATAGAAATTTGGAGCAACTGTACTTTCCATTTCTCTTTTTATGGACTTGTAATGGAAGATTAATCCAGAGTATGACAAGAGGAACCGCCTGGAGGGTTGAACCTGACTGTGTTTGGGAGAGAGTTGCCTCCTTTTAACTACTATGTCTGTAACTTCGTAATACAGGGGATATCTCTTTATCTGCTTTATTCACTTTGGCATCATCATTGTCTAACACAGAGCTTGGTGTGTAGTACGTGATTAGTCTTTTTGAATGAAATATCGAAGATGGAATGGATTGGATGAGCAATAATAACTAGCCTTGTTGGTGCACGTAATGTGCTTCTAGGCCCATACCATTTCCTTCTTTCCTTTTTAATTAACATTGGCCTGGAAGCATGATCACAGAGAACACTGTACTCTGACCACTGACTACTGTGACGGTGGGCCTGTGTTTCAATTCAATTTTAAGTTTTAAACAGATTCTAAGCCCGCTATGATTTGCTCAGTTTCTATAAGTCAAAAAAGAATGGCTCTAGGTTTGTTTTTTTTGTTTTTTGTTTTTTTTTCATGCCAGTGCACCAGGCAATGAACTAGAAACACAAAGACGTTGAATTTTGATATCTGCACTCTCACTAACTCATCGTGTGACCTTGGGCAAGTCGCTCCACTCGTCTTGACTGCATGGCTCCTCATCTTTGAAACCCCCTGAGTTCAATCTAGATGAGGCCGGGATAGTTTGTGAAGAAACTAATTTCTTACCTCATTGTGGAAGTGTTTTAAGATGTCATTGAGAAACGCATCCTATTCCTTTTGCTTTCAACAAATCATTTTCCCCCATCTAAACCCATCTCTGCTTCATTAAGGACAGGAGCCAATGAGCAAGTTCGTATGTGCATTTTTCACATTAGCAGAGGCAATTCAAGGTTAATCACCATCACATGGGATTACTGGTCTCCTCACCCTCATTTTCATGCTTTGGCTGCCTCATTGACTGCTTCAGCTAAGAGACCAAGGGTTGAATAATTCCTTAGAGATAAAGTATGATTTGGGGATGGCATAACAGGAAGAAGTTAGGAAGAGAAAAATTAACACTTCTTAGGCACTCATCATATCTCAAACTTCTTTAAAATTGTAAAGAAAAAATGCAGTAATGTCATCTGTCTTGTCTTACAGACACCATCAGGATATTGCAACTTAATTTCTAATCTGGTCGTAATTCTCTAGGACATAGCTTTAGCATTATTGCCATAAATTTGCTCATTTTTAGTATTTAGAAGGATATAACATCCACAAATGATTTGAAGTATTTTGAGTGGGTTAGGGATAAATAATAGAAACTTAAAACCAAAGCAGAGAAATGATAAATGAGAAAGCAGTGATTCTCTTAGAAGTTTTGAATTCCTTTTTTTTCCCCTAAAATTTATTTTATTGATTTGAAAAACAGTTACAAAGGGAGAGTAGAGACAAAGAGAGGTCTTCAATTCATTGGTTCATTTCCCAACTGGCAACAATGGCTTGGGGATGGACCAGGCTGAAGCTTCCTCTGGGTCTCCTAGGTAAGTGCAGGGGCCCAAGTGCTTGGATCATTCTCTGCTGCTTTCTCAGGCACATTAGCAGGGAGCTGGATCAGCAGTGAATAGCTGGGATTAGAACTGGCACCCATATGGGTTGTTAGCATTACAAATGATGACTTAACCCACTACAACATAGTGCTGTTTTCTGTTTTTTTTTTTAGAATTATTGGGTTATAGGCAATGTTAGAGATGACATTCACACAATAAATAAACTAACAGTCTTTTAACATACTTTAAAATGCACTCATGCTAAGTGTGAGTGTTGGCATAACTAGACATTTACCAAACATTGGCCAAGGTAAGTAGCCAGCTGAGGGCAAATAAAGGGAAGTGGTTGGAACGTAGGTTGGAATTCGAGTAAGTCCTTTGAGCTGTGTGCCATGTCGTCACACATAGGTGCAGGAAAGGGGGTGTGTATTTGTTTGTCAGGACTGGCACAGCTCGGAGGCCTGTCAGCTCCTGGCCCTACAGCTGTTGGTGTACTTGTTTTTGTACAACCCCTGCTGTTGGGTTTGCTCATGCTCTGCTTTTTTACCTGGTCCTTTGTGGCGGATTACGTAGTCAGTTCTATACGCATCTAACTCTAAGCTATGAGAAACAAACACAAAAAGGCTTTGCTATAATTACAGGGCTGATACAGCTGATGCTCGGGTGTCATGGCAGCATAAGGGTGGGCATTAGAGTCACCTGTTTTATCTTATTTCCTTGAAAAGAGGTGAAGAAGAGAGGGTTTTCCAAGTCTCCTTTCCATGAGACAAGAATAACTAACAGGATGTTTCTCAAGGAAGTGGGACTTGGCAGGCCAGCTCAGCATACTGCTCAGGGGCCCTCTGTCTTCTCCCAGAAACCCTGCTTGTGAGGCCCAGGAAGCCTCCTTGGGGGAAAAGGGCCCTTTCAGCTCCCTTCCTTGCAGAAAGCTCTGTTGGTCCTCCCACTGACTCTTTGGCTGTGGCTGCCTGCCAGCATGTCATGACATGTTCATCTTTGCTGCCCATTTCCTCTTCGCTGGGCTGGAGACCTAGATGGAGAACTGTCACGTCCCCTACAATCCTCTCGTGGAAAGATGAATATGCAGTGTCTAGATTGTTGCAAGTACGCATTTCCCACATAGGGCTAGTCTCCAAACCGCTGTGCTAGGTTGTGATTTGGAACTTGGTACTTCAAAAAGTTATGGAAAATAGAATTAAAAACCACATTTTTTGGAATGGGTGTCTGGCCTAGTGGTTTGGATGCCTGTCCTTTCATGGGAGTGCCTAGGACTGATGGTCAGCTCTAGCTGCCGACTAGATCCTGGCAGTCAGCAGCGATGGCTCAGGTCCCTGGGAGACTGCCACGCATGTGGGAGACCTCGATTGCATTTCTGGCTCAGACTACAATGCCTGCCCAGCTGCCCCAATCCCCAACTCCCCGTCTTGCTATTGTCATTATTTTGGAAATGAATAAGTGGATAAGAGATTTGTTTCTCAAAATAAATGAATTAATATTAAAAGAAAGGTTATTTTGATGCAAACATTTTTGAAATCTATGCATATAAAGGAATTTTCAAGAAGTTTGTGAAAAAAGGCATTTTTTTTTTATTACAACAAAACTAGGTATGGATTTCAATTTTTTTTTTTTGCTCAAAAATAGACTTGTATTTTAAGTCTATTTTTTTCCACAATCATTTTGAAGTCCTTTCACATTATTTTGGTGTCAACTGTATATTTCATAAAGAATCAGAATGATTACGTGGTTAAAAATACAAGCGCTGAATGCTCAGCCACTGTACTGCCAGGGTTCAAATCCTACTTCTGCCATTTTTGGTGTGTGACCTCAGACAAGGTTTTGTCTTTTTCTCATTGGCGTCTGCCTTGATGAGGAATTAGTTCTTGGTTCAAAGTAACTGTTGGGTAACTATTGGTTGCTGTTGTTATTCAAATGTGCATTGAATAAACGGAAAAAGAGAAGGAAGTGATTGTAAGGAGGTGAGAGTTACTTAATCTTAAGGGCTATTTATAAACTTCAAAGGATAGAAAGTACATCAGAAAGGAAGAAGAAAATGACAGAGTATGAAAAAGAAAGCAGATGGTCTGAAATCCTGAGGAGACAGAGGTTTTTGGAATTCTCACTTAAATCTAGAATTAGAAGAGGAAATCCATAGTTAGTACAGACAGTGAAGGCTCAGATGAGAAAGTGGCACTCCCTAAACAACCCAGGGGAGCCCTTGGGTGTCACGTAAAGACTGTATTGGGTCTCAAGGTCATGGGGGAAGCGCATGGGCCATTAAGGTCCTGGCCTCTTTCTAACCTTATGGAGATGCAAAAGATTCCTATCCACTTTGAATTTTGCTGAATTTCACTTCTCCAAGGCACTTCCTGCAGGGCAAATTCTGAAGGTCAGCGCATGCATGTTCTTTCTCAAAGTGGAAAATGGGATGCAGTGATGTAAAGAGAAATAATGTGCCGGCTTTTCCAGTGGGTCTAGTGCCCTGGTCCTGGAGACACCAAATCATATTTGCTGTCTCTTGGCTCTACAATGCTAATGGGACTTGGATTTAGAAGTAGCTTTGATTAATGCAGCTTTAATAGTGCATGGCAGAGATTGGGCAGTCACTCGTGGTTGAAGAAGAAGGCCTGAAACCCTGCTGCAGCAATGTCTGAGGAGCAGGTGATGAGGCCTCTCAAAGTGCTTTCTTACAGTGCTGGAGAAATACAAAGTCAGCATGCATCCCAAGCACTGCTATTAAATTGTGTTTTCTTGGGGGTTGTGTTATATTTGTTTTGTCAGCAATTGTGTGCACCGTGTAGGAGGAAACTGCACTTCTATTTCCATGTGTCAGATTTCATTCTTGATTTGGTTTATGCTAATAGCATCCCTCACCTGCATTGCAATCTATGTAATTTCAAGTATCAGGGCTAATTTACATATGTGGTATATAAATTTACAATCTATATTATATACATATGTTTCTAGCATATATACATATATATGCACACATACATATATATGTTGTTAAATAATTTTACAGCATTTTTTGTTTCATCATTTTAAGTTTTATACATACATAACCATATATGCTCACTTTTGAATGACTGTTTCGTAGATATGTATACCTAAATATATCTTCTCTGGGCAGGTGTTGTGATTCAGTATGGAATGTGGACCTCACAAGCAGTGAGAGCCTTACTGGAGAGCCCATACTGGAGAGCCTTGTTTAAATTCCAGCTACTGCCCTTCCTTAGCTGCCAGCCAGTGTGCCTAGGAGGCAGCAGATGATGGTCCAAGTATTTGGGCTCTTGTCACACACGTGGGGGACCAGATGGAGTCCCTAGCTTTTGACTTTGATCTGGTCCAGGCTGGCTGTGTGGATATTTGCAGAGTGAATAGTGAACGGAAGATCTCTCTCTTTCTCTGTGTCATCCTTCCAAGTGTATAAATAATCTTAAAGAAAACTACAAAATATGAGCATGTATCACTTGAATAAGATGATATGATTTTTAAAGATTTATTTATTTTTATTGGAAAGGCAGATTTATAGAGAAAAGTAGAGACAAAGAGAAAGATCCTCCATCCATTGGTTCACTCTCCAAATGACAGCAAAAAATAATGTGGAAACAATGGTCTTACTCACTTTCCTGTAACCCTTGACCCTTTGTGCCCTAATCAACTATGTAAGGTTATCAAAATAAAATAATAATTTTTTTTAAAAAGTACACATTTCTAGCATTGCTATTATCCTCTTACCTATACTGTCAAGGGGTGAATTGCTGACCTGGCTGACGGCAGGCTTCTGAAACCAAAATGTGCATTAATTGCATGATAACGCTGACTTTAATGAGACACAGCCAGAAAATCTGGGCATCTGTCTGTCTTTCTCTGTGTCTGCGTCTGTGTCTTTTCCTCTCTCTGTTTTTGCCCATGCAGAGGGAGATACTAGCATTTGCTAGGCTTCTAGAGATGAACGCTGTGTGAGCTGGAACTTTATTTCCAGGGCGTGGGTAGGCTTGATTGCAGACTCTATCCTTTTTACCTCACCGATGAGAAGCTCCTCTCCTCAAGAGCCAACACCTTGCACCGTGCCACTCCGCACTGGCCGTGCTGCTAATTCAGTTTCCAGCTGCCCTGCCGCTGCATGCTGGAAGGCAGATGATCTCAGCCTGGCACCCACAGCAGCCTCCCTCCTCCCCTGGCTCAACTCTTCCTTCCCCCGGGCGGAGCCGAGCCACAGATGCGTGCTAATGAGAGCTTCTCTTTGTTTACAGGGTCTGGGATGCTCTGACAGACAATTACACCCCTTCACTCTCGGAAGACTGGAGGGACCCAAACATCGAGGCTCTGAATGGCAACAGCTCGGACGCCGAGGTACTTCTCTGGCCCCTGGCTCAGGGGGAATTGAGAAGATGGGGCCTCCAGTTAGAAAAATGTTCAGTAACTCCATGGTCTTCCTCTTGGGCAATAAGGCTCAGCAATGGCTCAGCAGCCCTGCTGGAAAGGTGGATGTTATGGAGGGGATTGGCAGCAGGGGAATGGTTATCTATAAGAAAAGTGGACACAGAAAACTTCTTTTGTTGATCTGTGTCTTAGAACACATGCAAGTAAACACAAAAATAAGAGCCTTTGGGGGCTCAAGTAATGATTTTTAAAAAGTATTTACTTATTTTATTGGAAAGGCAGATGTACAGAGAGGAGGGAAGACAGAGAGGAAAATCTTCCGTCCGATGATTCACTCCCCAAGTGAGCACAATGGTAGGTGCTGCGCTGATCCGAAGCCAGGAGCCTCTTCCGGGTCTCCCACGCGGGTGCAGGGTCCCAAGGCTTTGGGCCGTCCTCTGCTGCTTTCCCGGGCCACAAGCAGGGAGCTGGATGGGAAGCAGGGCTGTCGGGATTAGAACCGGTGCCCATATGGGATCCCAGCACGTTCAAGGCAAGAACCTTCGCGAAGGCCTCAAATAATGATTTTTTTTTAAGAAAGAAAAATTTATATATGTTAGGTTTTCCCATCAAAAATAAGCATTTCAGTCCTACTAGAAACAGGGTTGAGAATCAGTGCTGAGAACTCTTGCAGCCTGTCACTGGCCAGGGGCCAGGCTGAGACGGCAGTGAGATGGCCATGCAGTGGGATAAATTCTTCATGGAACTCAACCGAAGAGATATTTCTGTGTCTGGGTCAAGTCATGCTCCCTGGTTACAGATGCCAAGGAAAGAAGTAGCCTGAGGGCTTCCGGGCAATAAAGAACACTTACCGTGAGTGCCTTTGCCCAGGCTATGGGGCAGGAGTGACCTTGCAGAAGATCCAAATTGTTCCTTTTGGTGTCCACATACAGACGATTGTCTGTGTTGCTTTGATCTGCTGTAAGAGAGCACCTTTAACCCTGTAACCTGTTAACAATAGACATTTGTTTCTTAATGATTCCAGAAGCTAGGACATTCAGGGTCAAAGCCTTGGCTGATTCTGTGCCTTGATGAAGGCCTGTTTTTCTGATTCAGATAATCATCATGTCACTGTGGCTCCACACAGCTGTTTCACAAGGGCACTGATCTCATTCTGGAGGGCTCCAGCCTCAGGATCTAGTCCCCTTACGAAGTCCCCAGTCCCAAAGCCATTGCATTGGGGGTTAGGGTTCCCACATATTAACTGGGCTGTGGGGGAGGGCGTAGACATTCAGAGCAGGAAGTTCAGCTGTTTAACGGCTCTGTGTCTATAGAGAGCCGACCTCTGCCTTGTTTGCTTTTCTAGCTTTGCTTGTGGAGGGAAGGTGATGATTTCTTATCAGGAAGGGCTGGGGCAGCCCCACGAACTCAGCAGTAATGGAGGCAGCCAGATATGAGATCCGGCTTCCCTAGCAAGCTGGAGTCAAGGCAGGGTAAAAGTGCAGGAAACAGATTGCTCTTGTTGGACAAGACGTCTACACACTATTGCTCAAGGCGACACACCAAGGAGATCAGCATTTAGCTGGTTTGTTTGTTGAAAAAGCAACTATCTATGTATCTTGTGTGTACACACACAAACACACTTGTCTACTTAAAAGGCAGAGAGAAAGAGAGATCTTCCATCTGGCTGGTTCGCTTCCCAAATGGCTGCAATGACCCAGGCTGGGCCTGGCCAAAGGAGACAGAAATTTCATCTGGTTTCCCAAGGACAAGGGGGTAATCACAGAATGAATCTGTATACTGAGACTCAGCCAGATCCATTGCAGTACAAACTACAGACTTGGCTTGTTTGTCTCTTTCTGCTAGCTTTCTGTTTTAGGTGGATGAAGCCAAAAATGTGTAAGATGGCCTGACCTTCAGGAGGGGATCTAATTCATCCTCATTTGCAGAATTTCCTCCAGGGATGAATATTTCGGGGAGAACTGAATGATTCTGAGATGGATGATCTCCTTCGTAGTGTTTCTTCCATCGAACCCATGGGATGACATGGCAGCCAAAGAGGATGGATTAAGGCTGTTTCAGTTCATCTCCTAAAAAATTTTCTGGGTTAGTTATAGTAGGAGCTTTTCAAATAGACCTCAGTTTAAGTGAGTTACTGGAGTAACCAGAGCTCTGTATTCCTTCTGGGACAGACACTAACCAACCAACGAAATACCCTGGGCATACTCAGTGCCCACAGCTGGTGGGCTTCTCTTTAGGGACCCCACAGAACTTATGCAGAAATGGGTCACCACCAAGAATAGCTGTTGGTACCCAAACCTAATCATCTTTGTCCTTGTGTATCACTAAGTAGCTGTGTCAAATATTGTACAAGCTGCTGAAGTGTGACTACAAATAATTTTCTCTTCTAAAATTAAAAGCTCATGTGTGCCAAATTTGAAATGTCAGAATTTTTTTTAAAAACTTGTTATTGTAAGTCTTAAAAAAAAAAAAAAACAGCAGCCCCTTGCCTTGCCTTTTGCTTCTGCATAAAGGCAATCACAGTTTTGTTGCTTGTAGCTGTTGTTTTATTGAGATACAGCTTCAGTTTTCTAATTGTACATTTATATTGCTATAGTTTTTATTTTTTTAAAAAAGTATCCATTTTATTGTTAACTACTAACTTTGTGTTATGGAAGATAAAATTTTAATTCTTTTGAATCACCTATACTACTTACACTTACTCTTCCTTCCTTGGCATATGGGGTTGTCACCCATTGATAATTAAGTCAAAATTATGTATATTCTTAATTGCAACAGTGTAGTACTATTTCTTTTTGTGTGTGTGTGAAGATATAGTAAACAGTTTCATTGGGAGTCCGTCTTTGTCTGGAAGTAGAGATGCATACTGGTTTGTATCCTCACATCTGGATATGATAGTCTCTATTACACAGTTACTGTATATCCTCATAAATGAAAAGCCATAACACAAAATCAACAACAGGAAAATAGAAATTTACAATGCCATGAAGTTAAATAACATGCTACTAGATATGATAATCTCCATTACACAGTTACTATACATCCCCTTAAATGAAAAGCCATAAAACATAATCAACAGAAAGAAGAAAAAAAAGTTGACAACACCATGAAGTTAAATAACATGCTACTGAATGACTAATGTGTCCCTGAAGAAATGAAAAAGAAAATCAAGAACCTTCTTGAAGAAAATGATGCTACTGTATCGCCTATGAGTCAGTGAAGAATTTAATCAGAAGAAAGTGTTTTGAAGAGATGAAAGTAACAAAAGTTCAAAATCCATGAGATATTGTTTCTGCTGATCCTTGTTGGTGAGATATGTCTCCTGTAGACAACAAATAGATGGGTTTTGTTTTTTAATCCAGTCTATTAATCAATGACATTTGATTGATGAATTTAATCCATTTACATTCAGAGTTAATGCAAATGGGTGCTGATTTGGTTCTGTCATTTTAGCAATGGGTTTTTGATTGATTTAGTCTTCTGTTGTCATTTTACTGGGATGTTCTTTACATTTGCCTTTGGTTTTGGTAGTTACTGTTCCTTTTTTCTGTTAAGAGAACATCTTTAAGTATCATTTGTAGGGCAGGTTTGGAAGAGGCACATTCTTTTAACTTTTCTTTACTGTGGAAGAATTTTATTTCATATTCAAAAACAGAGGGAAAGCTTTGCTGGGTACGTTATCCTGGGCTGACAATTTTTTGCTTTGAGAATCTGGAATATGTTGCTCCATTCTTTTCTTGCCTGTAGAGTTTCCTATGAGAGGTCTCTTGTGAGTTTAATTGGCATTCCGTTATATGTAAGTTGATTTTTTTCATGTGCACACTTAAGGATCTTTTCCTTATATTCCATTGAAGAGAGCTTGATGATCATGTGTCTTAGTGAAGATTGCTTTTGATCAAGCCTGTTGGGAGTTCTGTGCCTCTCCTGGATGTTGTTTCCCAATTCTTTCTCTAGATTAGGGAAATATTTCCTCATTGTTTCATTGAATACACCTTTAATCCCAGTTTCTCTTTCTGCACCTTCTGGGACTCCCATAACTCTTATGTTTGGCATCTTAATAGTGTCTTTCTATTCTTGAATACTTTTTTTGGGCCTGATCCAGCTCTGCTTCCAACTTTTTGTTTGCTTCTCCCTGGTGACAAGAAACCATGGAACTTTTTTTTTTTTAAAGATTTATCCATTTATTGGAAAGTCAGATATACAGAGAGGAGGAGAGACAGAGCGGAAGATCTTCCATCCACTGATTTACTCCCCAAGTGAGTGCAATGTCCGATGCTATGCCGATCCGAAGCCAGGATCCATGAACTTTCTTCCGGGTCTCCCATGCGGGCGCAGGGTCCCAAAGCCTTGGGCCATCCTCGACTGCTTTCCCAGGCCACAAGCAGGGAGCTGGATGGGAAGTGGAGCTTCCGGCATTAGAACCAGCGCCCATATGGGATCCCGGGGTGCGCTCAAGGTGAGGACTTTAACCACTATGCTATCATGCTGGACCCAGTTTTAATACTTTCAATGGGAGGTCTCTGCTTGGCTGCCACTTGTTCCTAGGCTAACTATCCGCAAAGTGTGTTGCCTACTCCCGGCTTAGCTAGAAGAGGGGGTGTGGCTATGAGCAGATTAATATGCATACCAAAAGTACCCTCCAGGATGAACCTCCATGGGCGCTAAGATTTGGCTAGCCCCTGGAAATACAACCTGTCACCACCTAAAGGTTTTTATTTATTTATTTTTTTAGTGGCGGAACTAACTGATAGGCAGAAGATAAGAAATATATAAAAAACACAAGGATTACAAAATGTTATTTTCTCAAGTCAAAGTTTTTTCCTTGCAAACATCCTAGCTAGCACCCTCTATCTCTTGGCTACAGTCTGGTGTGTGTGTGTGTGTGTGTACACTAAGTCTGCTTCACAGCTGTTGGCCCCAGAATTTCCTTAATTTTCATCCTGGGGATTCTTCCTGCTTTTCTCACTTTT